CCAAGTCAAGAAGTGGGAGCGTCAGTGATGAACATTATGTACTAATCATATTTATGCCAGCTCTATACTGAAGGCGGTCTTGTCTCCCTGCTACAGCCGACGGTGGGCCAGGTGCCGTTGCTTATCTTCACCTACCTGGGCTTCTCGCTGTTCGTGTCTGGGTTCATCCTGACGGTGCTGGCCTACGCTCCGACGGATTCCTACCTCATGGTCATGATCCAGGGCATGGCAGTCATGAGTTTCCTGGGACCCATCATCCTCGTCATTGGGAGTTAGTACCTCGCTCTCACTCCTCCTCACGTCCTTGTATATACCTCAAACTCACTAATACTGAAAGCTATCCTAACCTAACGAATCTTAACCAAACCTAAATTAACTTAACCTAAGCTAACGAATCTTAACCTATCTTAGCCTATCCTAAACTTAACCTGACCTCTGTTTTTTTAGTATAACGAACACATTTTCTTACAACCTTCCCTTTGGCTGTTTTTGTAATGTAGAAATACCACTGTTATCGCTTCATGAACGAGAACTGTATGATAAAGCAGAGTGAAAAGAAAAAAATCTAATTTAGCATTTACACAAAGTTTAAATTGATTAAATATTTTGTTAGTATATTGAGTACACGGAACATATAGCCTAATGCGTACCGCACTAGCTGATATAGCAATGGAGTCCTCTTAATGTAGGACTCGTGGATATAGATCAATGTCAGAGGAAAACTTATCAAAGAAATCAATGGATGTGGATTAAATAATATTTTTATCCTTGTTTTACAGCTATCATGTTGTTGGTGGCCATATTCTACTGCCTCTTTAGTAAGGATGACGAATATGAATAAGCAACGAGCAGCTCCGCCAGACTACAACACACCGGCCGATACGACAATATAATATTAAAGACTTGTTTTACCTACTTGGAAGGCCTTGTGTTAACGACGAGTCAACGGGATCATCCACTACGACGACCACATCTTCACGACAACGACACGGCGATATCCTCGTAACAACGACTAAAATATAGAACTCATCCGACGTCTTGAAGAAAATTTTCGACGATTAGACTGTGCCTGACGACCAACGACATATAAATGTTTCTCTACTAGTTCGACGTGTTGATAACTGATTACTTCATTCAGGTATTGTTTTATATTATGTTTACATCAGCTGTGTCTCTCGCCCAACACTCACCTGATGCTATAATCATCTGGAGTTTATTACCCGATGATGAGGTCGCTGAAACACACAGTACAGTAATAGAAAGGACGCAGCACGGACGGGCGGGCAGAAATAAAGGACACATGGATACACAAACAAGGGTGCGGACGAGTGTAAAGCAGGACGGACAGGTAGAGAAAAGTAAGGACAAGCAGATACACAAATGGAGATAAAGATGGACGGGAGAACAAAAAAAAAGACAGACGGATTAATGGACAGACTGGTGACCTAGACTTGAGTAGGGACGGAAGGGCGGGTGAACGAAATTAAAGACTGACAAACAGACAAAATGAAGAGCAGAATGAAAGAATGAAAAATTGAGAGGACACCTGATCAGCCCATCCCAAATTTCACGAAAAAGATGACATGAACGCAACAAACACTCGCTTGGTGTGCTGGTAGTGTCCCCAGTGTGATTGATCTTGTATAAATTGCTTCGTCCCCTATACTGTATACATTGTTGTTTCATAACGTGAGTTACAAAGAGATGTCCAGGTATCTTATATGTCACAGAATATATGATTTTTGTACTTATTTTGTAGTGTAAGTTCAGGAGTAATTCATAGGTTAAGAATTCTTGTATCTACTGTAAGTATGTCTTTAAGTATTCAGTTAAGCCCTTTTTTACACTTGAATAATTGTCAATGTTCAGGGAAGAACCATACTAGAATATGGAGGAAAAAGGTTTACAAACTACATTAATAAACATGTCATTTATATCAACCCTAAATTGAACCAGTTGGTACCATTTTAAAGTCAACATTATGTTAAGAATAAAAAATTGACAAAAACTCTTAGAGGAGTTCTACCGCTTCAAACATTTCCTCCTCACCTTGGCTTACCTAAGAACTTCAAAATCAATGCCATCAAAAACAATTGCAACAAAACCACATTAACTAACAATACGTCCACTCCCACGCTAACTCTTCAGTAAATCATCTGAGATTCAAGTGATTGAAAGCGTTGTACAGTAGACCGTGCCTCGGTGAGTACCAGCGGCGTCACACAGAACAGGATAGCATCCTTGTTCCTCAGCCATTTCCTCTCACTAACACTTGTTAAAATTAAGGATGCGTTGTGACAGTAGCAGGACTCTATATTCACTATTGTACCTTCTACTTTCTAGGAATATTAAAATAATTTATGCTCTTATTCCAGGCATTAATGTAGTGTGATGGCATGATGTAACTGAGTAAATATATATTTTGAATGGATTTTCTCCTTCCCCTAGAGTAATAGGTAATATCCCCTGTAATTTGCGCCATGTAACATTTTCTCCCGAGTATTACAAACTTGTATTGTTATTTGGGTACACTGGGCGAGTCTGCCTTTGAAAAAGATTTTTTCTTCTTGTCGTTGCCTTATTTTTACTAATATCCTGAAGTAATTAGGTAAAAATAAAACAAATTTAAAATTCCTTTTATTAAGTGGTTGTAACTACAACTTGGATCATTATTATGAAAAGTGAAAAGAGTAGATAAAAGACAATATATGGATACCAGCGATCTCCACACTAGGTTGGTGGCGAGTGTGTGGTGTGGGGTATGAGTTGTTGGGGTTCACACTCAGGATGGTTGGAGAAAGGAAACTCACAATGTGCTCTCTATATACATGTTATATTGGATGTACAATGCAGCTTGGTGCTGGGAAGGCAGCGTGGTTACAAGCGTGATGTAGAGAGAGCTGGTTGGTGAGGATGCTCAGAGGAGGACAGCTTGTGGGTCGCCATGCTCGCCGGCGGGAGCGAGGACCACCAGGCAGCGGCGTTGGAGGTGGTGTAGCTTGCTGCGGCTGTAGCTAGAAGAAGAGAGAGGTCACCACGAGGTCAGGTCTTAAATAGCGGGGGTAGGCGTAACTTAGTAGTTGACCTCCGTGATGTATGGCGGCGCTGGTTGACCCAGACCACGAGGCACACACTGGGGAATTCGCGGGGTCGGCTACTCAGTGACAAACAGCGTTTGTAGGGGAGAAATCCACTACAATACTCCCTCCTTCCCTCCAGGCGGTGTAGGAGACTTGTTGTCTGCAGGGTTGCCTGCCACATGTGAGCCATAACGGCGAGGGCGTGGATGAGCCGGCCGCTAGAGGAGACAACTGTCTAGATACACAATATCTGTGGGAGTAGAGAGGGAGAAAAAGGGTGTGTGGAGGCGATGAATGTTGTGCTTCCCTCACGACAGGTACAGAGTCGTCAGATGCACCTGCTGGGGTGTGTGGGCCTGGGTCAGGAGCAAGGGCTGCGTCAGCAGAAGCGGATGAGGGCTCGTGACAGCAGCAGGGTGCAGGACAGTAGTAGGGAGTACCTGAGGGAGAAAAGAGGGGTGTGTTGGTCCGCACTCAGGCGCATGGGCCGCGTCGGGAGCAGGGGCTGCATCAGGAGGAGCGGCAGGGGGTACTGCTGGGCCGGGGGCGGCGTCTGAGGCAGGACGGGTGTGCTGGGGTCGGTAGGAAGTGGTGCTTGGGGCAGGAAGAGGAGCTGGTTTCTGCTTAGAGAAGCAGTGCTGCTCTAAGGTGTCTAACCTGAGGTTTAGAGACAGTAGCTGTAGAGCCAATGAGAGCTGCTTCTGGGTGGATAAGCCAGTCTTCCATGTTGCTTGAAGACTGGGAGCGTGATCTGTTTCTCCTCCATCCTGTGTGAGTGCGAATCTCCGGGGTCACCATTTGTGGGGTACGGGATGTTTGGGTTCTTTCTCCTCCATCCTGTGAGTGCATCACTCCGGGGTTACCATTTGTGGGGTGCGGGATGAAGAAAGGAAACTCACAATGTGCTCTCTGTATACATGTTATATTGGATGTACAATGCAACTTGGTGCTGGGAAGTGGCAGCGTGGTTACAAGCGTGATGTAGAGAGAGCTGGTTGGTGAGGATGCTCAGAGGAGGACAGCTTGTGGGTCGCCATGCTCGCCGGCGGGAGCAAGGGCCGCCAGGCAGCGGCGGAGGAGGTGGTGTAGCTTGCTGCGGCTGTAGCTAGAAGAAGAGAGAGGTCACCACGAGGTCAGGTCTTAAATAGCGGGGGTAGGCGTGGCTTTGTAGTTGACCTCCGTGATGTATGGCGGCGCTGGTTGACCCAGACCACGAGGCATACACTGGGAAATTCGCGGGGTCGGCTACTCAGTGACAAACAGCGTTTGTAGGGGAGAAATCCACTACAGTGGCACAACACTTATCCCCACATTGTGTTAGTGGGGATCACTCACTATAATCTTATTAATAATGCAACAAATATTTTATGTATCATTCACCTACTTTCATACCAGAGATAAAATATGAAAACTGTTCGCTCATCAGCAGCAGTCTGGCAAAAGTATATTCCACGAAGGACAGAGGCCCCACACACATACACACACACAATTGTTCCCCCTCATCCATATAAACCCGTAAAAGCTCTCTAATGGTGAGAGAAACCTGAATGAGAGTTATGGGAAGTGGTCATGGCCAGTATGTAGCCACAAGTAAGGTGTTGTTCTTATAACATTACACAAATAAGAACAGTTGAAGAACCTGAATCTGACAGGTCTTAAGGCAGAGGTCCGACGTCTCCTCTAGAAGCATGATGCGTGTTTTAGTCTTAATTCTCTAGAGTTCCTTCAAACGTAAGAAAATTTACGGCGGTAAAATTCACTATAGTGTGTTCAGAAATGTTTCACTTGCAAGAGAAAATCACACACACACACACACACACACACCTTCCTTCACCTTTCTCTAATGAAGGCTTTTGTTAAACCACCAATGTATGTAATAAGTCATTTATGTCCAATGTATATTTTCAGCCTTCGGGCTGCAAACTTTTTCAATAAACCGTTTATTATTATTATTATTATTACACACACACACACACACACACACACACTAGTAGTTATCCCTAAGTATGCTTCCTGCACGTGTGCCAATGTATAAACTATCGTTGATAAATTCTTTTACATAAGTATCTATGTCTACCTTACATTATGTGCTAATGAGGACAAACTCATTGTATCAATTTCCTTCTCTATTTTTTAGGAGGGACAAACTTGTTATGTTCGTCAAAGTTCTCTCCCCATCAGACTAAATCAGTGAGTCCTACTTCCCTGTCATCAAAACAAGACAGACAGTGACGGACAAAAATATCATCTCGGGGAGTCGGCTATAATTGGTCTCCTCACCCTGACCCTCACGTGTGTACGGGAAATATTTGAGTATAAGAGAGGGCCGCCTGTGACTTATAAACACTCTCGACTCTAATAAAGTGTCATTTAATGCTAAAACTTCTATAAACTACTTGGCACAGAATCCTGATATGCGGTGGGAGTTTTGGCTCTTGTTATTATCTCTCACTGACACATCACGTTAAAACTGTCTACTCTTAATACTACTTAACTAAAAACCGAAGTTAAATCAGAGTAAACACAGTGGTGTTGTTCTTCAGCTACCTCTTCATCCCAGTCGTTGATTATTCATTAAAGACAAACGAAACAAAACACCGTATGTGATACTTGTGAAGACTGGCCCAGGAAGGAGCTGTGGTGAGGGAACAATCATCTGGGAAAATCTGTCACACCGGCCATTCACAACCTATCAAAAAAGTTAATATTTACGGAGATATAAATAATTCCTTTGGTAAACAGCTTAAATCGTATGCTAAACAAACTCGCCGATAAAAATATGTCTACAAGCGACTGTGTGGGTTACTTATGCTACTGTACTCTTGCACTGACACATGAACACTTGATCAGCTAGAAAAGAATATGACATTTCTGCCGGGCGGCCCACGACAGAGGACGGTATATACTGGTCAACATTTCTGACCGAAACTTTTATGGATACTTGACTGGAACACTTGTGGACACTTGACTGGAACACTAGTGGACAAATGTGACTGGAACACTTGTGGACACTTGACTATAACATTTGTGGACATTAATAAACTGCTAGGCACATTGCTGACTAAAATAGCTTTGGTAACTGCAGATTTGATAATTGTCGAGTAAGTTGACTGGAATAGCTGTGAACACTGCTGACGGCTGCAGCTGTGAACAGTGATGACTGGACAGGCGAGGTGAGGTAGGAGGTGAACAGGCTGGTGCTGGAGTGAGTGCGTCAGTGGTTACCAATGGGGATCTTGATGCCTTTGCTTGTGTTTGAGGGCCCCGCCGTCAGCCAGAAGGTGGGCATGGATCCCTTACCCTGCATCATACACACCCATGTTATATACAGAACATACATACATAATATTATATACATACACACATACATACATTCATATATACATATTAATTCCAGTCAATCGAATGTCAAAATTTAGCAACAACATCAACCAATACAGACATACGAGTTGAAAATTTTACCTCTTATCATTGAATCACATTTCTGATAGGTTTCCTTGGCTGGCAGAACTTTGACATTTTGATTATTAGGATTTTAACAGCGTAATATTCTTAAAACAAAGGTTGGCCATGTCTTGTGAGCAATGGACCCTGCTGAGTGAGGCGGTAATAAGGTTTGTGTTAGAGAAAGTGGCAGGTGATGATGGCAGATGATATAAGAAGTAGGGTGTGGGTGTAGGGAGAGCCAGGTGAGGGTGTAGGGAGAGCGAGGTGTGGGTGTAGGGAGAGGGAGGTGTGGGTGAAGATAAAGTGAAGTTTAGGTGTAAGGCGGATGAAACCTGAGTGGAGAGAGGGTGACATGGGTTGGTTTACACTGACCTTGACCTCCTGGTAACCTCGGAACTCACAAGTGTAGCCGCCCAGCTGGTCAAGTATCTCCTTGGTGGACTGGGAAACGTGTACCTTCATGGCTGTACACAACAACAAACTCTTATTATAATCTATCTCTTCACTGAGAATATATTACTTCATTGGTATAGGACCTACCATACTGCTGACAGCCTACCATACTGCTGACAGCCTCTACCTTATTACTGACAGCTTACCTTATTGCTGACTGCCTACCATACTGCTGACAGCCTACCACACTGCTGACAGCTTACCTTACTGCTGAAAACACAATCGTCTACACTTCACACTCCCACAAATCCAAATACAGAATACTATTGATCTTTGATAATGTAAAACGACCTCTCATTAGCTGATTTTCCTCTAAAGGCTTCCATTAGCAGACAGCAAAAACAGTTCAAACGCATTCAGGACCAACTGTGGAATATGGCAACGAAGAACACAGCGTTCCAGCAGTTTTTCCCTTGAAGTAACTAATAAATTACAGTATATTATTTCCCTGAGAATACCCCAAAAACATTATTTTCAACACCACACAAAGACTTAGAGCCAAGGCACTATTGGAATAAGTTAAGTACTGCTGTAAAACATGAATATTGTAGAAGCAAAAGGAAGAATTACTTCGATAGCGTAGAAATTATGTACTTGAAGGAAATATATTGAGAAAACATAAAGAAAAGAACACGGTAACAAGGACATGTCGTGAAGTGAAAGGAGTATCGACCATAGACCGGATGAAGGTTTGCTAGGCTTGAGTGGGCGAGCGGCGGGAAACAGAAAACGATTGACAAGAGGAGGAACTAATTTAGAAGTGAATGGCAGAAGAGAGGTGGCTGGGTGGGGGGGTTGGGTGGGGGGGGCAAAAAAAGATAAAAAAAGTGAAAAGATGGACTGAGGGAAACACTGACCTTCTCCAGTACTCTCCATTCTGCTGGCGACGTTGACAGTGTCACCAAAGAGGCAGTACCTCGGCATCTTGGTGCCCACCACACCTGAAAAACACAAGGGCGTCACAGCATCACACCACCTAACACTGTGTCTTGAGATTATTCTAAAGGTAACTCCATTAGTGATATTAATGACGTCATAAAGATCACCAATAAAGGTAACTCCATTAGTTATATTAATAACGTCATAACAAAGATCACCAATAAAGGTAACTCCATTAGTGATATTAATGACGTCATAACATAAAGGTTAACCCCTTTTATTAGTCCATTTACTTCATAACTTAACTATTATCTTAAAGGTAACTACACACATGATCCGTTGTCGAAGCATCAGTGTTATTATATCAGACACACACACACACACACTACAGACATTACAGACACGCACGCACACACACACACACACACACACACAAATACACTACACACACACACACACACAGACAGTGACCTCAAACCATCACCCCTAGGTGTTAATGTACCTGAAGATGTAGAAGCCTTGTGGGTTCAGGTCACTCCCACCTCCCACCCCAGCTTGTCTGTGTATGCTATCATCCCCCCTGCGCACCAAACGCCAATATACTGATTACTCATATTATAGACACTGCTGACTCCCTGAGATCCACATTTCCATGTGCTAAACTAGTGATATGCGGTGACTTCAATGAGTTAGACATCAGTGACATCACCCAACACCTCCACCTTACACAAACAGTAGACTTTCCCACACATGGCAATGCCACCCTTGACCTCATTATGACTCATCTCGGTAACCACTTCCTTCCCCCCAGCCGCTGCCTCCCATGGGACGCAGCCCCCACCTGTCCCTGCTGGAAGGCCCATGTAAATAACACAGTCAAGGCAGCCTCGTACCGTCTCTACATACTACGAAAACTTAGGTCACTTGGGACGAATCCAGGTAAAAAAGTCACAGGTAAAAAAGTCACAGAAAAAAAGTCACAGGAAAAAAAGTCACAGGAAAAAAGTCACAGGAAAAAAGTCACAGAAAAAAAAAAAAGTTAACTATCGAATTCTCACATTTTTTAAGGTTAATATGTCAATCAGTTTCAGTAACCTAACCTAACCTAACCTTTATTACCGGCCACCATAAATTAATTGTGACTTTTTTTCCTGTGACTTTTTTCCTAGCCAAAATTGTGACTTTTTTTCTGTGACTTTTTTCCTGTGACTTTATTACCGGCCACCCTTGGGACACCCACGCCAGAGCTGAGGACCATCTACAACGCCTTTAATCTCCCCAAACTAACGTATGCGTCACCAGCCTGGTCGTCTTCTCTCAACTCCACCCAACAACGTCAGCTAGAGAAGGTACAGAAAAGGGCCTGCAGAATCATGCTCGGCGCAGAATACTCCGGCTACACCAACGCTCTCTCCACCCTGGAAATGCCATCCCTCAGTGACCTCCACCACCAAGCACTGGAAAGGTTTGGCAGTGGACTACTGCACCAGTGCACCACCCTCGCCATCGCCACCTCCTGCAGCCCCCCACCCAACTAGCGCAGTCCGCCACTACAACAAAATTCAGCCCATAAGAGCCCACACCGATAGATATAAGAACAGCACCATCCCATCTATTGTTAAAATAATAAACAACTCCTGATTTATGTACTGCACAGCCCTGTAAATGTATTCAATTTCTTATTATATCATTATGTCTAAATTAAATGTAAGTCTGTATATTTTCAGCCACCGGCTGCAACTCTATTAATAAACCGTTTATTATTATTATTATTACACACACACCCTAGTGTCGTGAAACACCTCACGGGTGTTTGTGATTCAAGTTGTGTATCACTGAAAATTTATTTATGAGAAGTAAATCTTTAATAGAGACGACCTTGTTTTACTTACCTATATAGGAAGTGTTGGTACTGGTGGCAGGGTAGGCAGGGTACTGGTGGTAGGGGAGACAAGTGTACTTAAGGCAGGCGTGACAGGGTACTGAAAGCAGGGAACTAGTGGTAGTCTGGTAGGGAAGGTATGGTACTGGTGGCAGGGAAGACAGCGTATTTGTGGCAGGCGTGGCAGGGTAGTGAAGGCAGTGTACTTGTGACACTGTTAACCTACCAGCCACACAGGGACCAGAGTTGATGCCAGCACGGATTAAGAGGGACTTGTCGGGCCTGTGTGGGATCTCGAAGCTCTTGGCGCCCTCTATCAAGTCCAGCGCCATGTTACACAGCTCTGACGCGTGACGCAGCCCTGAGGGAGGGAGACGCCAGTGTATGATAACAGTAAAGAAATGAATAAAACTGTTTTAAATACCAACAGAGAGAGAGAGAGAGAGATACAATAAATGCTGTAATATAAATGAAAAGAAATAAAAAGATTCGAATATATATATATAATTAAGAATTAACAATGAGGTGTGAATGAGTCAATGAATGTTTGTGATTTTTTTAAGTAGTTCAATGATTAAATCCATAATGATGCTTCCGTTAACCAACCAGTAAATGTATTTGTTTACTGAAGACAGTAATATATACACGTCGTCTTGAGTGACTGTCTATATTACTATCCAAGGGCAGCCGAGGTGGTTACTGTCCATTGGGGAGGGTACTGTCCACTGGGGTGGTTACTGTCCACTGGGATGGGTACTGTCCATTGGGGTAGGTACTGTCCACTGGGATGGGTACTGTCCATTGGGGTAGGTACTGTCCACTGGGATGGGTACTGTCCATTGGGGTAGGTACTGTCCACTGGGATGGGTACTGTCCATTGGGGTAGGTACTGTCCACTGGGATGGGTACTGTCCATTGGGGTAGGTACTGTCCACTGGGATGGGTACTGTCCATTGGGGTGGGTACTAACCATTGGGGTGGGGAAGGCCGGACACCACCATGTAAGCATCACCAATCGTCTCCACTTTGTAAACATCGAAGTTCTCAATGCGCGAGTCGAACATGTTGTACAGTTTATTGAGCAACGACACCACCTGCAGGAGCCAACATGGACCTCTTAAGAAGTAAATGACTAAACCACTGTCAAATACCAGTCATAATACTGATAATATACAGTCACCCAAAAACTATCTATACAAAATTGTGTTGAAAAAATATGACAACGGACGAAGGATTTTGACAACCCTACCGAGACAACAGGAGTCACAGTGTTCATTCTGACATTCATCGATCACCCCCAAGTACAGGTAATTGTTTTGAGTGACTGTACTTACAGTACTTACTTTACATAATGGGTGTTTTCTCTCCTACACTTTGGTAAATTTTATTCAAATAGATATCTCAGAACAACATCTCGTATTCACAATCTCTAAGTTTCTTTTTTTTTGCGAATCTTTATAGCCCCGTTATATATGAGGGAAGAATGACATAGCTAGGTGTGAGAGGGACGACATAGTCAGGTATATGAGAGATGACACAGTCAGCCAGGTGACGGAGACATACCTGGATTGGTTCCGAGTCGGAGCAGAGTGTGGTGAAGCCCACGATGTCGCTAAAGTAAACAGACACCGCCTTGTAGCTCTCAGCTGGTACCTGCCACACATACACACAGGTGCGTCAACTTATGGACTGGAATAAGCTTGGTAATATTTATTCGACAAGTTGTAAGATACACGGGTATATGGTAATGATACTGAAGCTGCACAAATGGCGGGTTGGTGGCATCTCTCACCAATGTCAAGGGTTCGAGTCCGGTTTCCTTCTGTACTGTACTAACACTGGATAGACAAACCGCCCCAACGGCTAGTAACCTGATAAGTGGCGATATGATAAATATATTCAAGAATCTGAGTCAAGAGTATTAATATTATTTACCCTAAAGTTAAAATTTGTCTAATGGGACCGGGACGTCATACCATAAATATTTCAGTACCCTATACACAGGTCCAACAAAGGCTATTGAAATTAACTCATCAGTAACTTTCAGCAGTTATGATACATAGATCAACGAGTCATAAAATAAACTTGCGAAGGTAACAAGACATCCTGTGGTCATCAGTGTACAGTAGATCCTCAATCTAATGCCGACACAGAAGGAAGAATCCCGACCTCAGCCATGAGTTACCCACCGACTTCTTCTTCTTGAGCTGGATGGCGACAGCTTGAGGCAACATCTGGTAAATGAGACGATCACATCGACGCTTCTCCCGGCGTAGCTCCACCCCCTTCGCCGTCAGGGTGGCCGCGAACACCTACCGGAGACAACTGTTTTACCTACACCTATACCTAACTGTCTGGTGTAGCCAACATAATATATGACACACTCGGCACACACTGACACATTGAACACTTCTTCACACACTAAACACTACCGATCACATTAGACCCTAACTCACACTACATTACGGTACTGGGGGGTGATCGTTGTATATCATGTTATGACTTATGAGATACAACCATCATCCCACAATACCGTAATCGACCTGCAAGAGAGAGAGAGAGAGAGAGAGAGAGAGAGAGAGAGAGAGAGAGAGAGAGAGAGAGAGAGAGAGAGATTTTAGAAATGATAACTTTATCAAAGGCTGTAAAGTGGCGAGGGACGTCAGTACAGTGCTGGGTTGAACAAATTCTTATTTCATACAAGGAGGAGTGTAGGGGTGGTGTAGAGGCTGGCCTGAAGGGTGTAAGGGCTGACCTGA